TGGGGAGTCTGGGTAATCCACCCTTGGATATTAAATGAACCTGTGCAAAAGTGGTGGGATATCCAAATTAACTGGGATATCCAACTAACTAGGATTTCCAATCCAGGTTTAAAAGAGTTTGTTCAGACTCACAGGATTCCTTGGACACTGTAGATGAAAAGGAAAGTTTTGGTTATCAAAGGAAGAGAGTTTGGGCCTTGCAAATCACAGCCTGTACAAACCTTAGCCAGTATACTAGCTGCTGAAACCAGACCCCTTACTAGAGCCTTTAAAAAACAAATCAGAATAGAGAAGGCAGAAGGGGCTGGAACTCCTACACCCACAGAGGAGGCTATCACCACAGATACAGGGTAAGCTAGGAGTTAAACCAGAGGATAAAATGGAAAAGCCAGAAAAAGGGCTAGGAACAGAAGCCTGGGCAAATCTGGTGGCTGAAATGTTGGAACAGCAACAGGAAGACAGGCTCTTCAGGGAGGCAGAATGAAGGGATCAGCTGGAGTAGGAAAAAGGTGAACCAGAGGCATGGGGGGAGGAATTTGAAGGGCTCCTAGATCTCTTTAAAGAGATACAGTCCCCAGGTGGGGCACATACCTCTACACATGTGGAGAGGGGGAGTGGAGGATCCAAGGATATGAAAATTTGCAAATTGACTGATGAGGAAGACATTGAGGCTTACTTTACTATGTTTGAGAGGGTGGCTATGTCCTATAAATGGCTAAAAGATGAGTGGGTAGCCAGGCTGTCTCCTAGTCTGTCAGGGAAAGCTTTGAGAGCATACAGTAGTCTCCCAGCTAAAGATATATTGGATTATCAATATGTGAAGGAAACAATTTTGTATAGATATGGTGTGACTCCATATATGTATAAAAAAATATTTAGAGGTTATGTATTCAACTCCCAGGAGGCTGTTTGGGAGTTATGGCTCATCTGGAAGACTTAGGAAGGAAATGGTTAAAACCAGATGAAAAGAGTAAAGAGGAAGTGGTGGAGGAAGTCATTCTTGAGCAATTTCTTCATGTACTCCCTTCCCAAGTAAGGTTGTGGGTAAAAGAACATCATCCTAAAACAGATATCAAGGCAGTTGAATTAGCAGAGGACTTTTTGACAGCTAGCAAGGCAGAGGAGGAATTGAAAGGAGTAAGGAAAAAGAAAGGAAGCCTGTACTGGAGAGTAGGAATGTAATGGTGCACAAAGGGATCAGACAGGAACATGTTAAACAAGCTTGACTCCTACTAACTTGAAGGAAAAGGGTAGTAAGATCAGCGCTTGTTATAATTGTGGAAAGGAAGGTCATTTGGTTAGGGAGTCTTGGATTCAGAAAAAGAAAGGAGTGTCTGCAGTTGTTCATATACCACTGGGAACCAGGTTAAGGGTTCCAGCTAAGGTTAATAGAGTGACTGTTAAGGGTTTGGTGGACACTGGAAGCAGAAGAACCCTAGTACAGCCTCATTTAGTAAGAAAGATGGTTTGTATTGGTAAAGAGCTGCTCACAAGTGTTTTTGGACAAACTGAGATGGTGGAGTTAGTGAAGGCTAGGGTTGCAGCCAAAAGGAAGAGAGAAGAAAATGGTAGTCGGGGTTGTCCCTAAGTTGCCCTGTGAATTGGTCCTTGGAATGGATTTTCCTATCTTGGAGGGATGGTTCAACTCAAAAAGGTGTAGGGAAAAGGCTCAAGCGGTGGGGATAACTACTAGGGCTCAGGCAAAGGAGGCAGAGAAACAGGCAGAGGTTCAAAAGAGTGAACCTGTACTTCTTCCTAGCCATTCGGATTTATTGGGGAAAGTAGGCTATGCAAGAAGAGATAAAGCATTAAAAAAGGCAGATAAAGCCGGAGGGGAACCTATAGGGTTAAAGGCCCCTAAATGGGATATTAATTTAGGGTGGTTACAGAAAAAAGATCCTACTTTGAATCACTGTTGGCAGATGGCAAAAGAGGAAGGGGACAAAGAAAGTACACCTAAGTTTCAGGAAAAGGAAGGGTTACTATTTAGAATCAGACTTCATCCAGTGACAAAAGACATAATTGAACGGGTTGTAGTTCCCCAAGAGTACCGTAAGCCAATCATGGCGTTAGCTCATGAGAACCAGTGGTCAGGATACATGGGAAGGGATAGGACTACATTCAGAATCCTGGATTGATTTTATTGCCCAGGGGTCAGCAAGGATGTAGAACAGTTCTGTAAATCTTGCTCTGCCTGTCAACTGGAAAAACCAAAAAGGGAGCAGGATAAAGTACCATTAGAGACAGTTCCTCTCATCCCAATATCATTTACCAAAATTGCTATGGATATTGTAGGACTGTTGCCTAGATCAAGTAAAGGAAATGAGTATATTCTAGTCATATGTGATTATGCCACCAGATACCCAGAGGCAATCCTATTAAAAAGTATAACTGCCAAATGAATAGCTGAGGAACTGATAAAGATTTTCAGTAGAGTGGGTATACCTAGAGAGATTCTTACAGATCAAGGAACCAACTTCCAATCAGCATTACTTTTTATCTATATGCTGAGGGAATTCATACTAGTCCTTATCATTCACAAGCTGATGGGCTGACAGGATGGATGAATCGAACGCTGAAAGATATGTTAAAAAAAATACGCAGGCCAAGACCCCAGGCACTGGGATGTTCAGTTACCGTTTCTTTTGTTTGCGTACAGAGAAGTACCACAAGCATCCACAGGTTTTAGTCCATTTGAATTATTGTATGGAAGG